TACCCAGGCGCCCCCAGTTCACTATTTTTAATGCCAGGTCGCATGCTGGGCCACAGGGAAGATGAGATGAAATAATAAATGTGTATAAAAGTGTGTAAGGTACCTGGCTATCTTAAGTGTCCTGTAAACTAGCTGCCCTTCTCTTCTGCTGTCCTGTGACCAAGCCATTCAACTTGTGCAGGCTTGATCTCTGGTTCTGGTGCCTGGTTCAGGGGATGGGGTAGTGCAGGCCCTCAGGCTGTCCTGAGGCTTGGTGACTCTCTGGACTTTGTGCCCTTGCTCTACCCTGCTGGGACTCCTCTGGGCATTTCCTCCTAGAATGGGTTTTGGAGAAAAGAAGAGAAAGACCTCTACACCTGCCACCCCCACACCCCGTAAAAGGGATGGTCCAAGGGACTGGGAAGTCGGCTGTGGGCCTGCCCCGCCATCTGCTGGCCATTTGTGTAATTGCAGAGAAAAGCCACTTTAAATTCAGTGGTGGGAGCGTCATGCCCAACCCCCAACTCTAGCCAATAAGGTAGGTTAATCCTTTCTTCCCCTAGATGAAAAGGAAGTATTTATGTTAATGTGATGTCCATAAAGGAAAATAAAATGAAAGTTTTTGCACATGTTCTCACTGCCTAGACAAGCATGACTTAAAAAACAAAACAAAACAAAACACTCCATAAATAAAAGTGGGTATTTATTCGATGGGGCTGGGCTGATGGGTCCTGCTCTTCTGGTTTCTGAAAAGGGGTCCAGAGACCCTGGGTGGTTACAAAGAAAGGCAACAAGGGAGAAGGAGCTCAGCTTCTACAGCCCGAAAGACTCGGGTTTGAACCCTAGTCTTTCTCCCCAGTCATGAGCTGGGAGGGGTGGGCAAGTTAATTCACCTGTGTTTTTGAATCCGCATGTTCTAGGTGTGACAACGCCCTCTGCCCCCACATCCCCCAAATACCTGTCTATGTCCTAATCCCTGGGACCTGTGAATATGTTATCTCTCATGGAAAAAAGAACTTTGCAGATGTGCTTAAGGTTACATATCTTGAAATTGGGATACGATCCTAAATGATCCTGGCGGGCCCAATCTCATCGCAAGAGTCTTTAAAGCAGAGACTCTTTCCTGGCTTCAGTCAGGGTAATGGGATGTTGCTGGCTTTGACGATGGAGGAAAGGGGCCAGGAGCCAAGGCATGTAGGCACCCCCTAGAGGTTGGAAGAGGCAGGGAAATGGGTTCTCTCCTGGAGCCTCCAGAAGGGATCCAGCCCTGCCGAAACCTTGATTTCAACCCATGGGACCTGTGTTGGACTCCTGACCTCCAGAACTGTAAGACAATAAAATTGTGTTGTTTTAGCCACCAAGTTCGTGGTGATTTGTTCCTGCAGTGATAAGGAATGAATACACTGTAATGTGGGGGTATTTACAGCACCCACTCAGTAGGTTGGTAGGGAGAATGAGATGCGATCACTGTGGGAAGTATGGGATACCTTCTGGGAAGATATCCGTTTATTCTTTTACTTATTCCAGTTACTATCTGAGCACCTACTATGTGCTAGGCACTGTGCTCAGTGCAGGGCTTATAGGGGTGAACATGGCACCTTCTTTTATGGAGCTTCCCAGTTAGGAGGGCACAGGACAGTAAAAGATCACAAGCATCCATGCTTGTGCTGATTATAATCAGCAGGCACTGATGAAGGGATCATGCATGCGGGCAGCTGTGAGCGTGCAGCTGGGAACCTGCCCGACCTCAGGCCTCAGGCCTCGGGCTTCCGACCAGGCTCTCTCCAGGTTGCAGCTAGTCCTTCCTCACCTTTCCATACAGGCTGGTCTGCCTGACTGGGGAAGGGGGTGCCAAGGGCTGGAAGTGAGGCCAGAGACAGTATCCCAGTGGCCATCAGATGAATCGGTGCTGGTTCAGAGATGGAGAGCGTCACATAGGGCCCTCCTGTGCTGGTTCATAGGGTGTAGGGGTCTGGCCAGTGAGATCAGGGCTGCCTGGAAGAGTGGGCAGAGAAGACGGTAGGCCTTGGGATGTGGCCACTGACTTCTAGGCTTCTGTCTACCTCCCTAGGGCTGAGCTGCCAGGTCCCATGCTGGGCCAGAGGGAAGATCACCACTGTTTGTGGGAGTGAAGCTGAGCCAGGTTCAAGGCCTTAGGGCCCCAGGGGAAGGGACAGAAACCGGGGCAGAGAGTAGGGATCCTTTGTTGGACTCTGGAAGTCCTCACTGGCGTGAACCTCCTCATGTTGCCTCCTGGGTTTTCCTGGGCTGTCCTGTAGCCCCGCCCTATGCTTCCAAAGTGATGGAGCAGAACAGGTTCCTTTGGAGCAGACTCTCAGGGACACAGGAGATTCTCTGTGCGTCAGCTGACTGTAGTATCTTATCCAGCTAAAGGGTTTTTGTGATGGGGCCAGGGGGACCCAGAATGAATGACACAGCTGAGACAGGCTGTGGAACCACAAGGCACCGTCTGGATGCAGATCTGAGAGTCTCAGTGGACCCTCAGCCAGTGAGAGACCCGGGCCAGGAACTGTGCTTCCACCTGGTGGCAGATTTTGAAACTGCTTCTGGATCAGATGCCCTGGCTCCCGGGGTGTGACTTTCTGTTCGGCCTTGCTCAGCTGAGCTCAGCTCCTGACAGAGTAGACAGTCCAGTGCCCAGTGAATGAATCTGGTAAGGCTTAACCACGGAATCTCTTTCACCCTTCAGTAGTCTAATATTGTCCAGGTTTCACCACAGCTCTGAGAATCAGGGGCAATTGCAGAAAAGGGGCTGTCACCCCTCATCCCCTGACCTCCCACCCGCTGCTTCCCACCACCATGGTCTCAAGGTCTCCCTCACACCTGACACTCTAGAAACCTCTAATATGGAGTTTATGCATGCACCTAGAGCCATGCTTAGGGCACATAACACATGATGGGGATCAACAGGAAATATGGTGCTGGTTAACTCCAGGTTTTCCCATGTACCTGCTCACAGACTGGGCACTGTGCAAATGCTTGAATGGCAGCATGAGCCCTCCTCCCAGGCACCACCTATCTCTAGGTATTAAACTATGGGCAGGCCACATGGTATAGTCACGGTAGGGGGTGGGGAGGTGAGAGGGCAAGGGTGGGTGGGGGAGGTGGGTGCTACCAACCCCTACCAAACTGAAAGCCACAGTACTCAGCTGAAGTTCTGAACTCAGGCTTGCAAAGGTTGGCTTGTTTATGAAACAAGTGACTTAAAAAAATTATTTGAAACCCATTAAGTATGTCTCCAAGCAGTTGTCTGTCTTGGACAAATTATAGAAAGAAAGGGAAGAAAGAACGAGGTCTACAGAAATGTAAATTAAAAAAAAAAAAAGAAATGTGGGAAACATTTTGGCCAATGTTTTCCAGAACCTTAACTTGGCTTCAGCCAGGGTAAATGAAGTAGTAAATGAATGTGTTTTTGTATAAATTTTTCATTAATAGAAACTTGTTTTCTCCTCACTCCCATCAAAATGATGTTGAAATGTCTTTGAAAGAATACGGTCACATACCTCAGGGGAGCTCAAACACGCGTGCACTTTGAGATGCATGCGCTTGGAGGATGTTGGCTGTTTGTAGGAGTGAAGATTTGGAAACCAATCAAGTGTCATCAGCAGGACAAGGATAAATACATTGCAGTGCATGTGGCCGATGCCAATGGTATGACAGCCTCCTTAGTTGAAGCAAATGGTTCTATGTATTGACATGCAAACATCTTAAGAGCAATAAGGAGTTACAAAGTTGCACAAGCATATTTTCAGTATATTAGTTATGGGTTGATATATGTGTAGCAAAGAGTGAAAACGTGGGTATGTGACACATTGGTTTACCAATGAAAAAAATGAATGTCTCTCTGCCTGGGTAAGGTCTGGCCATCTTTCAGATCTCAGCTCCATACCTCACTTTTCCAGGGAAGACTCCCCGGACCCCCAGGCCAGGTAGGCACCCGGATGTCTGGTCTTAGAACCCATACCTATCCTTCACATCTTTTGTCACTGCTGTGTATTTATTTGTGCGATCATTTGATTAACTTTCATCTTCCCCACAAAGTACATTCAGGCAGGGATCCTGGCCACCTTCAGCATGGCATCCCCACTACCTGGCCCAGCACCAAGTGCACAGAGAGCCCCTAAGAAATAAGTTTGTGATTTCTCTTTCCCCAGTGAGGCTGTAAGCTTCAGGAGACCAGGGGGGGAGTGTCTGTTTTCTTTCTCACCGAATCCCTCGAGGCTTAGCAATTAGGAGGGAAGGCTGTAAATGTAAGACTCAAATCCTGGCTAGCTGTGTGACTTTGGGCAAGTAAATTTGTGTCTCTGGGCCTCAGCGTCTTCATCTGTGAAAAGGATAACAATCCCTTCTTTGGAGTGTTGTTAGACGTCAATATATGAAAATAACTCATCGAAGTGTGGGGGGCAGAGTGGGGGTGGGTCGGGGGCGGCCTGGAGGATGCCCTGTCCTCCGGGGCCTGCAGGGCCATCCCCAATACTACCACCAGGTGGCGCTATGATCATTCGCAAAGGTGACGCTCAGCCCATCAGCTCTCCAAGCTTCTGAGGGGTTGTAGGTTTCCAAGTGGCCAGCCAGCCTTTGTTGTAACCTCTCAGTGCTGAGTAGCTCACTATCCCAGGCTGGAGACCCTGGCAGGGTGGGTCTCCGAAAGCCCCTGTCCTCTGGGTGGGGGCCCGCCAGACCCGAGGGGACTGGGGAGTCCAGAGGCAAAGTTGTGGACAGCTGGGGGTGGGCACTAGGGTGAGACCCAGCAGATGCCCGGGGTGCAAAGTTGAAGGACTCACTCTCAGGCTTGTGCATGTGTGGAGTCTGACCACTGCGGGTGGCCTTATAAGGACAGCTCGGGGCCAGGCTGTGGGCCAGCCCCAGAGCCTTAGGGCCGCCCGCCCTCTGCCCATCCACAGTGGTATAGAGTGCTCACGAGGTGCCAGGCTGCGGTGACTCACGTGCTTCTCGGAAGAGCCTTAGCTGATAAGAACTGTTATTACTGTCATTTTCAGGTAAGAAAATCGACACAGAGACACTTTAAACTTGCACTTAGGAAGTGGCCAAGTGGGGATCTGAGCCCTGCTGTTTGGCTCTGGATGCCGCCTCTTGCCCAGAGCCTCCCCTGCTGTGTAACCTGTCGTCCCTCCCTCCTGTGACCGAGCCCCTTCCACCCATCATGTATTTATTGATCTGTCTCTCCATCCCAGCACAGTGCCCGTGGGGCCCAGGGTGGGGGGGAGCAAGGCCAGACCACGCCCCTGTGGACTTTACAGGCTGTCAAGTTGAGTCCATTGTCTCTAGGACATCCCTCGACCTTGGAGTATGAGTACAAGAGCCCTGGCTTCCTGGGGTTTTGGGGAGGATGGTGTGACTCAAACCTACAAGAGCCACAGCTGGGCACACAGGGAAGCGGGGGAGTGTCCCCATGCGAAGCTCCCTCCAACCCACACCGCCCTGATCCCTGGAGCGGGGGGCCTGGCTGTCAGGTGGAGAGTGGGAGAAGCAGCAGCTCAGGCCCCGATGCTCCCGGCCTCGAGTCTTGGCTTTGGCACCGTAACTGCCCCAGATGCAGGATTTCGGGCACGCCTTGCTGAGTTCTTCCTCTGTAAACCAGGAATGACGAATATCATCCTCGCGGTGTCCTTGTGGTTGTTATATGGAAAAGTAACAAGGTTGAGCGCTTGGCACAAGAGAGGGGTCTTTGTAAAAATCTCATTTCCTGTCCTCAAGAGGAATCAGAAGTCCACACAAACCCAGGGATCAGCATATCTGGAGTTTTGGCATCTTGCCTTCTCCCAAGGAAGGCGTGGGCCCGAGAGGCTACTTCTTTTGCTTCCTCTCTTTGTTCCTTGAGAAAGAAGGGTGTACTTCCCAGCTGCCGGGCAGGGGGCTCCATGTTGGGTGTCCCGGTGCCCCACAGAGGGCTCTGTCTGGTCTCTGGTCACCCAGGGCACTTTGAGAGTCAGTTGGTAGGTGGGGGGCACCAGGGCTTCCTCTCTGCGCCCTGAGACCTCCCCAGAAACCAGAGGGCTGGCGGGGAAGCGGGGGGCCGAGTGGCTGTCAGTGTCTGGGAAGCCCTGTCTGACTCAGCCTCCCCCAAGGTCTAGGGGTGTCCTGGCTCCCCCTCCATCTCCTCCCCTCCCCTCCCCTGCCCTGCTGCTCTGGATGCCTCTGCTGTTCTTGTCCAGAGGCCAGGGACCAGAGTGCGGGCAGCAGAACAGTGAGCAGGGGCTGCTCGGGACTCTGGCTAGCGGGTGACGTCACCCCCTCCCCTTCCACTAACTCCCCCACAAGGTCATGGTGCCCGGACCATGTCATGGTGCCGGAGCCTCATATCACGGTCAACCAGTGTTAATGCCTCTCCACCGGGTGCTTCCATGCACGTTACCCCCGACACCGTAGTCACAACTGCCCCTCCATTTCAGAGATAGGGAAACTGAGTCTCAGCAGCAAGGTGAGACGGGACCCAACCAAGGTCTTGCAGCAAGATGTCGGAGTCCAGCAGACATTCCTGCCCAGTTCTGCCCGCCCCTCCCCCTCCTCCCCCTTCCCCCTCCTTGTCCCCTCCCCCCACCTGCTCCTCCAGCACTTAATTTTAATGGCCCTTTGATTGCACGCTTCTTTTTGAGGAGAGACTAATCATTATTAATGAATTTGGGCTGCTCTGGTGGGGCTGGTGGTAGGTGGCGGGAGGAGCAAGGGGGCAGGCAGTGGGCATCTCCCTTTGGGCCAGAGAACCCAACGAAGTAACCTCTAGCTCTTTGCTTCTCTTCCCAGTTAAATCAGACCCTTGGCTGGGAAGGGTGCTGGAGTCTTAATGCCTGTCTCCCCCCACCTGCTTGTGGTCTTTATACCAGAGAGGGGGTGGCTCACTGAAGATCGGTCTGGGCCCCCCACCATCCAGCAGCCCCCCTCTCGGCCTGGGGGGCACATGGGCGGCTGCAGTGGGGCTCCCCCTCTCACCCCACAACACGGGGCTGTTCTCTTGGCAGCAACAGATTTTGGGAAGGCTCAGATGGTTTGGGATTTGTTTTCCAAAATTAGAAGGAGAGACATAATCCTAGTGGGGAAACAAAACAAACCAAAATGAAAACAATGAGTAGCAAAACCCCAACCCCTCTTCGGATCTTTTAGTCCTGAGCCCTATCATGGCTCTGCGTGGACTTCCTGGGTCACACGGAGCCCTCCTGGTGGGCTCTTCAGCCAGCCCCAAATCCCTCTGAGCCTCGGTTCCCTTAGCCGTGTGTCAAACCGGGATTACACTGCACCCCCGGGTTTGGGAGGCAATCGATGAGATGGGGAGATGGATGCATTTTGCAAATGAGGCCTTACAATGATAATTTTATCATAGGCAAGAGACAGACGTGCTCACCCACACGCCCCCACATCACTAATGGGGCCTCCCTCTGAAGGTGCTCCTCGCTTCTTGAGACGGCGTGATTACTCAGTGGGCTCTGCGTAATTATTTAATCAAGCCCGATCAAGTCCTCAGCTTGGAGCTGCGTGGCTGACCAGACCCCGTCCTCCCCGCCTCCCCCAGCAGGTGCAATCAGTTAGAGCCGCTGATAGGGAGCCAGACCTCGGGCTTCTTTTGTAAAACCGCTGGGGGTGTGGGAAGGAGGGGCCCGGGTCACCTTGGGGCTTGCTGGCTGAAGAGGGCCAGGGGGCTTGTGCAGCTCCTTATTTCAATTTGAGGACATCGAGGACCAGAGAGGACAAGCAGCACAGGATGTGCTGCAGCACCTGAGGCAGACCTGGCTTCTGGGGTTCCCTCCCTACCACCCCTTCTCCCTTCCTCCCTTCCTCCCTTCCTCCCTCCCTTCCTTCCTTCCTTCCTTCCTCCCTTCCTCCCTCCCTCCCTTCCTCCCTTCCTCCCTTCCTCCCTCCCTTCCTTCCTTCCTTCCTCCCTTCCTCCCTCCCTTCCTTCCTTCCTTCTTTCCTTCCTTCCTTCTTTCTTTCCTTCCTTCCTTCCTTCTTTCCTCCCTTCCTCCCTCCCTCCCTTCCTTCCTTCCTCCCTTCCTCCCTCCCTTCCTTCTTTCCTTCCTTCCTTCTTTCCTTCCTTCCTCCCTTCCTCCCTCCCTTCCTTCTTTCCTTCCTTCCTCCCTTCTTTCCTTCCTTCCTTCCTTCCCTCCCTCCCTCCCTTCTTTCCTTCCTTCCTTCCTTCTTTCCTTCCTTCCTTCCTTCCCTCCCTCCCTCCCTCCCTCCTTCCTTCCCTCCCTCCCTCCCTCCCTCCCTCCTTCCTTCCTTCCTTCCTTCCTTCCTTCCTTCCTTCCTTCCTTCCTTCCCTCCTTCCTTCCTTCTTTCCTTCCTTCCCTCCTTCCTCCCTTCCTCCTTTTCTCTCTTGTCATTGACAAACATGCAGATAAAACACATCAGGTGACAGTCCCCCATGATCCTCCCCTACCCCCACTCCCCAGAGGCAACTCCAGCTCCTTGTCTAGAAACTTGCCATCCAGACTTCTCTCTATGCCCCCAGAAACTTACCTAAATTCCTCTAGAAATACTAGGTTAGGTGTTTGCTTTTGTTCACATAAACATTCCCGATGCCATCTAGACCAGCGGTTCTCAGGGGTGACTTTATCCCCCAGGGGACCTCTGGCAGTGTCTAGAGACATTTTTTTGTCATCATGACATATAGGGCAACAGCTCCTGGCATCCAAGGTAGAGGCCGGGGCGCCACCTAACATCCTGCAGTGCACAGGACGGCCCCACAGCAGGGAATTATCTGGCCCCAAATGCCAGTAGTGGTGAGGTTGAGAAACCCTGCTCTAGAATGTTCCTCAACTTGCTTTTCTTCTGAAAGCAATGTATCATGCACATCGTGGCAGGTTAGTAGATATCTCTTCCTCCCTCTTTTTACTCCAGCAAAGTCTGACGGTATCACTGTCCACATGCCTAATTCTGTCTTGACAGCTTTTGGAGTGCTTCTGATGTTTTTGGATTAACGGAACACCCTGGTTCACACAGCATGTATGAGGGGAGTGGTTCCTTCTTTAGATGCTGGGAGGGTGATGGCTTTGCCAAAGTGCTGGTTGTTGGTTGGTAGACTTCCAAGTACTCATCTGAAACTTCTATGTGCTGGGCAGTATTTTAAGCATGGCTTATACTTACTTCAAATTTAATTTTATTTTCAATTTTAGCTACACCGTGTTCTTCCACAAAGACTGTGCCAACTTAGCTTCTGACTTTTCCCACCACAAACCCAAAGTTTCAGGAAAGATAATAATAAAAAAATTTATAATTAATAAAGCTGTTATTTCCCCAAGAGGACTAAAAGGAACCTGACCCTCTCAGGGTGGATGGGAACCTAGCCATGACACCCCCATGACAGCCCCCGCCCCTGCCATGGACCCTCATGGAAGAGCCGTTCAGACTCATCTACCCCACCAGCTCTGTGTAGCCCCTGGGGGAAGGCCAGGGGCAGGTTTGGGGGCCCCATTTTACAGATAAGGCTTGGCAAGTTTGAATGGTTTGCCCACTGGCTCTGGGAAGTCACGGCCTCCTGGAGATCCCAGGGGGAGGCCCTCAGGATCCAGGGACACATAGTGGGTAGAGAACAGGTGGGCAGAGTGAGGCTGGCCATAGTTATGGACCCTTGGATTTCTTTCTCTTTTTTTAAAAGATTTTATTTATTTATCTATTAGAGAGAGAGAGAGAGAGCTGGGGGAGGGGCAGAGGGAGAGGGACAAGCAGACACCCACCCCCAGGACTGTGGAACCCAACACGTGACCCCATCCCACAACCCTGAGGTCATGACCTGCGCTGAAACCAAGAGTGGACGCTCAACTGACTGAGCCACCCAGGCGCCCCCGGGCCCTGGGCTTTCTTGCAGGTCTTGTCAGCTGCACACCCTACCAGCTCCCTCACGGCTCTGGGCATGGGGCTGCCAGATTTGGCAGGACATCCATGCAATATTTGGGACATTCCTGCACTAAACAATTACTCATTGTTTTTCTGAGATTCAGACTTGTGTTTTACCTGCAACCCCACCTGGGGCAACAAGCAAGGGGGGAAGGGGGGGTCCTCTGGCAGTGCCCCACTAGCCTGGGATCTCCTCTTTGGGCTGTTGGCTTTTAATCTTTCCTCTCCGCGAACCATCAGTGCCCTCCAGATCTTGCCTTAAGGCTCCCTTTTCCTCCAGAGAGCCAGGAGGAAGATGGGGAAGCAGATCGGCTTGCTGCACTTCTTCTTCAGGGACAAGGTGTAAATGGCTGGGACCAGGCAGCCCTTCCATTTCGCCCCTCTCCCTTTCTCCTCCTCCCCCTTCTCTCAGAACCTCGACACCCGAGTCCGGGAACCCCGTCTTGCTTGTGCGTGCACGGCGAGGCCAGCAGCAGAGGGCGGCGGGCACGTCCAGGGCAGTACCGATGACCACACTGACCCCACCTCTCCACGTCGTCCATACTCAGAGCCAGCGGCCACTGCAAGTGTAATTAGTTCATAAATCACCCCGGGTGATAAATAGAATGATAGATGCAGGTTTCACTTGATCACTTTTTTATTAAGGAGAAATAAATCAGCACCACATTGTTGCCATAAACCTTTCAGACTGGTCAGATGCTGGCTGGTAGAAGCTGATTAACATGGCCACGTGTAGGGACCATTTATAGCTGATCATTGAGATCAATCAATCCCTGTCATCTTCCCTCCTTGGAGGAGATGGCAGAAGCCAGGTGCTGTGCCATCATTCACTGTCCCCCTCCCCCGTGTCCTGCTGCATGGGCGGTGGGGGGAGAGAGTGCGTGCTTTGGTGTCAGACAGCCTGGATTCAAATTCTAGCTGTTCCGCTCACCGGCTGTGTGAGCCCCGGGGTGGGGGGGCTGTGGCCCTGCCTCTGAGCCTCCCTAACAGGAGGTGGGCAGCAGTAGTTGGGATAGTTGGCATAGGTAGTTGTTCTGGGAATCCGAAAGAGCCATGGGTCTTCCTTCATGGTCTTATGACCCCTGTACATACTTAAAAATTAGTGAGGATTCCCAAAGAGCTTCTGCTTATGTGGTCTGTATCTATCAATATTTACTGTATTAGAAATTAAAACGGAAAGTTAGACAAATGTTCACTTATAATAACAATAACCAACCTATTACATTGTCAGTGTAAATCACATTTTCGACAGAAAATATCTCTATTTTCCCAAACAAAGAAGATCTGAGAAAAGTGGCATTGTCTTACGTTTTTGCAAATTTAAAAAATTTCCGGCTTACCAGGAGACCGCTAGGTTCTCATATCTGCTTCTGCATTCGATCTGTTGTGATAAATTATTTTGGTTCAAACGCATGAAGAATGCCTCTTTCAAATACGCAGTTGGGAAAGGGAGGGTGTTTTAGTAATCTTTTCAGGGGATTATGGCTTCTTCACCATAGCCTTTGGAAGTTCCCACTGTACACTTGTGAGTGAAGGAAAGTAGAAAGACAACATCTTAGTATTAATAGGAAACTAGGCTTGACTTTGTGGACCCCTGAAAAGATCTCAGGAACCCCTAGGGGTTCCCAGACCACACTTTGAGAACCACCGGGATGAGGCCAAAGGGAGAAGGGGTTGGATGCAAGAGTGGTAGTCCTGTCCCTGGCCGCTGTCGTGGACGATCTTGGAGAGTCTGCGTTCCTCTCCCACAGCCCACCTATCCTCTATGGAGGTGATGCTGGACGTCTTCCAGGGCCCCCCAGGGTCACTGTCCACTTTCTTCCCTGCTCTAACCCTGGGCGGCTGACCCGTTAGGGACTGCATTCATGGACTTTCTTGCCATCCATTTTCTGGGTGGGTTCAACCTATGAGAAGTTCTGGCTGGAGACTGGAAGGTGGGAGGAGCAGGACGCTGGGGCATTTATTTCTCCAACGTCTTCCCTACCATGGTGGTGACAGGAGCCATGGCTGTTGCCAGTTTCCCCTTCCTCCTTCCTATCCCAGTAACTACTCCTCTTTTCTTGTCCCTTGGCTCTCCCCACTGCTGCTGTCCTCGGGGCATGGCGCTATCCTGGTTGGTCTTCGGTACCTTGCTCACTTAAAAAAAAATTATACACCCCTCAATTACCATCTGTTCCCTGTGGGATACCAACTGATGCACAGTTTTCTGGGAAAACTTCCTTTTCTGGATAAAACTGAAGAAAATGCTCAGAAGGAGGACGAGAATAACCCCACCCCATCCAAGTACCTGGGCTTTCTAGTTTACAAAGCACCTCCCCAGATGTCATTTCATGAGCTCCTAGGCAGAACCTCTGGGAGGCCAGGCTGTGGAGGCACCAGGCTCAGACAGGACAGATCTGCCCAAGGCCACATGGTGGGGGAAATGGTCTTGTTTTGTGGTTGGTCCAGGACATCCTGTGACCTAGAGCAATTCCAGGAGTTGTGTGGGTCTCATGGAGGAGATGTGCTTGCCCCTTATCCCTCCAGCTCTGCCTCTACTTGTCCTGAAGCCCCCTGTCCAAGCCCCTCACCCCATGTCCTGCAACCACAGCAGGGGTGCCTCCTTCCTGCTGGGTGCACCTTGGCTGGGTGCCCCACCTTTAGCTCTACCCCCTTGCATGTCCCAGAAGAGCCTGAAGTTCCCTGCTCTTGACCAAGCCCCACCCCTTTTTATGATTTCGTGCTTTTGCTCATGTTCGTTCTTTTGTCTGGTGGACTTCTCCCACCTGCTCTCCCTGGACAAACATGTGCTCGTTTTTTCTCTTCCAGAAAGTCTCCTCTGATAGCAGCTCTTTCCTACAGAACTCACTCCCCCCTCCCAGGTGTTCCCATTGCTCCATGCATATCTTGGGTGTGTCAGCACCACACCATGTTATAGGCACCCCCCCCACCTTCTCATGATGCCCAACTCCCTCGCCTACCAAGTGTGTATATCAGTTAGCTCCTGCTGCGTAACAAACCATTCTAAAACTTAGCAGCTTAAAACAACGATTGATCTAACTCATAATTCTGTGGGTCAGCTTATGGTTGGCTGATCCTGGCTAGGTTTGGCTAGCAGTTGTCCTCCTTTCAATGGGGAGCCCTTTCCATGTCAGCTGATTGTTGGTTCATCTAGAATGGCTTTGGTTGGGATGGCTCATTTTCATTCTCTGTGGTCTCTCCTCCCCCAGCAGGCGACGCTGAACTTGTTTTAGGGGTGGCTGAGCAGCGTTCTAAGAGAAGCATGCGAGGCTGCTTGAGGTCTGACTCCGGACTGGCGTGATGTCACTTTCCAGCACATTTTGTTGGGCAAAGTATGTCCTGAGGCCAGCCTAGATTCCAGGAGTGGAGAAATGGACTTCATCCCTTGTTGGGAGCGGCTATAAAGTCACATTGTGAGGGATGTGGATATAAGGAGGGGGGAATTGGGACCCCATTTGCAATAAATCTATCACAACTTTGGTTATCTGTACAATGTTTGTTCTTAGCACTAAAATGATCTCTACATGCTACAGAGAAGCAACATCACTGTATGAAATTCATGGTGTGTATTATTATTATACACTAGCATCTTAGGTGTAATAATTGAAGTAAATGTCTTTTATATAAACATGAACATTCAAAACAAAACATTGGGGCCTCATTTGCAACAAATGAGAAATAATGCTTTTAAGATTCCAGTGCACATGGGTAATTTTTATAGTCCAAACTCTTGACCATGACCTACAAGGCTCTACATGGACTGGACCTGCCAGCTTCTTTATCTTTAGTTTGCACCATGTTCCAACCACATTGGCCTTTTCTTCAGTACCTTGCCCTTAAAATGTTTCCTCCAGCCACAGGGCCTTTGCACGTGCCGCTTTCGTACTTTAAGAGCACTCTTTAGTATTTCCATGGACTAATGTCTCCCCTTTCTTCACATTTCAACTCAGCCTCTTCCCGTCTTTCCTGACTAGGTTGAATCCTCCTATTCATAGCCTTTCAGGATACTCCATTCTGCTTCTTACTGTTGTAATTTTTAATTTGTATTTATTTAACAAACACTTACATGGAGCTTCCCAGGCACTGTTCCCAGTGTGTTATAAATATTAAATCATCTCATCCTTAACACCACTATAAGGTAAGTACTGGCATGAGCTCCATTTTACAGATGAGGAAGCTGTGGCACTAAGAGGTTGAGTGACTTAGTCATGCTCACCCAGGTTTGACGTGCGGAGGCAAGGATGTAGACTCAGGAAGTGTGGCTCCCCTACCCCTCCCGCCCCCCCAACTATTCTGTGACTATTTTGATGTACATCTGTTTCTCCAAGCACAGTGTGCCTCCATGAAGGCAGAGACCACATGCATTGGCTTACTATTTTGCAGCCTCAGGGGCTAGCACAGGGTCGGGCACACATGAGATACTCAAGAAACATTTGTGGAAGTAAAGAACTGGAGACATGAGTTGCTTCAAGCCACCGATGAGCGGAACTGGGGTAGAGCCTCCGAATGGCAGGGTTGTGGTGCTTCTGCCTCCGATCTGTCCCTTGAGGAGTCCTCGCCATGCCCTGGGGACCCTCCCACAGCCTCCTCTTTGCAGAACCTCAGGACCCCAGGAATCTCCTTTTCCACGCATGTCTCCGGCAGCTGCTTTCTCTGCAGTGGCCCCAAGGACATTTCCACTGTGCCGATCCCCCCTGGCTTTGCAGGCACCCCTGGATGAATGACCCTGCGAAGAGTGCAGTTTTCTTTCCCTCTTGCCCTAACTTTGATTTGATCAGGCCAAATCTGAAATGATGTGTGAAAGTAATGATATTTTGTAATTAAATCTCTGGTGACGGCCACCGCAATTTGTGCTACATGCATTGTTCATAAGGAAAAAACGCATCAATTCATTTTCTGACTGGCTACTCCAGGGACTGGCAATTAGGAGCAGCTCATCTCTCGTTGCCTCGCATATTAAAGAGCTACTGAAACGCAAAGAGAATTTGGGAGGGTTTTTTTTTTTTTTTCTCCCTCTCAACCTTCTAATAATGTTAGCTTAATTAGGAAGGCTCAGTGATAAAGGGAAAGTTTTGGATGATTTGAGCATATTGCAGTGGAAGGAAAAGAGTGAATAAAGAGAGGTGAAGGTGTCCAGCAGGGCCTGAGAGTGAGAAGATTGCGAATGTTCCATCCTGAAGGGCTTGATTTTGTCGGAGCAGGGCTGGCTGGCTGACTGGGGCTAAGGACAAGGGCATTCTAAGCCCAGTGCCATTCCCTTCAGCTTCTGGTTGGACCTTTTCTCTTTGCATTCCTGGTTTTGCAATCAGAGGAGTCAGACTGTATCTTCATTTCTGGTCCTCCCTCCCCCCTGCCAGGAGGTCTGTTCCTCTAACCTGGTTACTGCATGTGCTCTGGACCAAAGTACTGAAAGACTCCTTTTTTTCCTTTTAAAATAACTTTTGAGAATAGTTTGAAGCTCACAGAAAAACTGAGCAGGACATACAGACTTCCCACATCCCCAGTTAAAAGGAAGACTCTCTCAACATCAACATCCCTCCCCAGACTGGTACGTTTGTTATAATTGGTGAACCCGCCTGGACATGTCATCAACACCCAAAGTCTGTAATTGACATTAGGGTTCACTCTCCTGATGTTGTATATTCTATGGGTTTGGACAAATGTATCATGCATGTGTCCATGATTATAGTATTATACAGAATACTTTCACCACCCGAAAAATCTGTGCTCCCACTATTCCTTCTTCCTTCCCCCGAGCCCCCTGACAACCACAGATCTTTTTACTGTCTCCATGTTTTGCCTTTTCCAGAATGTGATACGGTTGGAACCATGCAGTATATAGTCCTTTCAGATGGGCTACTTTCACTTAGTGACTACGCACTTAAGGCCACCCCTTTTCCAGGCTTATCTCAGAAAGCCATTCTCCCTGACACCCCAACTGCCATGTGTCTGGGCCCTTGGTTCAGTCTGTGCAGGCCCCGGGGACTGCTTGATGGTGTGAGCAGAGAGGTGGGTGTGAGAGAGAGACAGAAATCATGGCAGGACTGGAGAGAAGGTGCAGCTAGGGCCCAAAGGTTGAAGGGAAAACAGGCAAAACTAAATGCTGAAGTAGACTCGGTCAGCATTATTTGTACTTCTAGGGTCTACAGACAAGGGGCTGGTCTAGGTGGTTTCATCTATCACCTTTAAGTTGGCCCTTGGGAGAACCTTTCTGCCCAGGGTGAGATGATTAATATAGCCCGTTTTACAGAAGAAGAAACTGAAGCTCCGCGAGGTCAGGTGCCCTGGCCAAGCCTTACAGTGAGCAGATGCCATGCCAGGTCTGAGCCCGGGTTTGTCTGACCCCAGGCCAGTGCAGAACTTGCTGTGAAGATGGGGATGTTTGGTGTCTGTGCTGCCCAGGGTGGCAGTGGCTTGGTCTGTTTGGGCTCTTATCGCAAAATACCGCGATCGGGTGGCTTACAAACAATAGATACTTATTTCTCACAGTTCTGGAGGCTGGGAGGTCCAAGATTGAGGGGCTGGCCTCGTGTGATGAGGGTCCGCTTCTTAGTTCATAGATGGCTGTCCTCTCTGTGTCCTCACGTGGTAGAATGGGCTAGGGAGCTCACTGAGGGCTCTTTAATAAAACCGCTAATTCTATTCATGGGGGCTCCACCCTAATGACCCAATCACCTCCCAAACACCCTGCTCTAAATACCACCACGTTGGGAATAGGTTTCCACCTATGACGTTTTTGGGGCGGACCCAAACATTCAGTCTCTAGCAGGTAGTCATTAGCACTGACTGAGCACTTGAAATGTGGCTAGTGTGACTGAGGGACTGAATTTTAATTGTATTTAATTTTAATTAATTAAAATTTAAATAGCCACCTATGATTACTAGCTATGATCCTGGACAGCACAGCTCCAGACCCTTGGAGACCTTGGTGCAGCCCGGCTGCTGCCCCCGGCCCACTGGTCTCCCAGCACGCTGAATGCAAACACCGTGACTGAATTGTCTTCTTACATCTTCTCTCCCCCGGAGCAACTCTGCCTCCCTGCTGTGTCACGCTCTGAGCTCATCCTGGAAAAAACCTTCCACCAAAAATTGTGGGATCAACATCTGCTCGTGCCAAGGGCTTAACCCCGGGTGATTTCATGTGTCTTCTCAACAACCTTGTGTAGTGGGTCCATGATTAGTCCCATCTTATGGTAAAGAAAAGAAGGGCTCAGCCACTGACCTCTTCTAAGTCACACAGCTGGTAAATGTCTGGGCCAGATTTGGAGTGCAGGTATCTCTGTTCCAAAAGCCCATGCTTTCTCCTGTGCAGCGTATGCAGAGGCCAGTTTGGGGTGGATCTCCATTATAACTGCTAACCTGATGACCCCAAAGATGCTGTTCTCACCCTCTGTCTTAGTGGACATGGATTCAAATGCAAGTGGATAAACTTGGGAGGTGAAGACAGTACAGGGAGTGAGGACGTAAGATAGGTAGGGGAAGACAGCTAATAAAGGGTGCATGATCCTGCTAGTTCCCAGCCGGTGAAACTGTAGGAAGCTGCATAGCATACCACAGGCTTATCCACTCAAGGGAGGAGGGAGCCAGGGTATTTATCAACCTACTCTCACTGCTCCTTGGTTGAGAGCTGCCCTGGGGGTATGTGGGTGGCCCCTCTGTCCTGCCAGACAGGTGGACAAAGTGGATGCAATGGCCAGAGAAAAGTCCTCAGGCAAAGAAGTGGCAGTTGGCAGCGAAAACAGAGTATCGTGCATGTCCATGACACTTGCAAAGATCCTGGGGTCACTGTGTCTCAGCAGCCTAGGTTCATCAGAAGGTAAGGTGGTGCTTTTCCTGGGTCCAAAGGTCTCTATTAGTCTTGGGGAACAGAGTTGCCTTATAAGGGGTTTAGCCATTAACAAAGCAGATGGGTGCTTTGCTGGTGATCTTTGAAAATGGGAATCTATTTGCAATTCAGAAAGGGGGGGTGCTAGGGATCTTTGCCTCTATATAAAGGAGGTGTTTTCTAAGAATCTTCATGGTGTAAATAAGGTTTAGGTACATCTTTAAACCTACTTTGTGAGCATTCCCAAGGTCTTTAGAAATGCTTGTCAGCATATAAACAACTCCTGGATTACAAATTAGTCTTCTATTTCACTAAAGCATGCCCCCTAATCACTGATCACAGGCAACCCTTAGCTTAGTTTGAGTAACTGCAAGCACTTGAAAAAAATGTGGGTTTTTGTGTATATTCCATAATGCAGATTTGGTTCTAAAGCCAGCATGACCTCTGCATTCTGAATTCGAGTTGGAGCACGGCCCTTTTGACCAGATCATCTTGCCTGTTAAATTGTCCAGATTTAGTTTTCTTCCCAGGTTTTAATGGAGGCAGTAGCTATAGTAAAGTCTTATTAGACATTTCATCCTGGGTTCTTACTTCTTGCTGCCCTCTATCTGGAAACTTAGCATTTATTTAGCATCTATTAAGTGCCTGGCTTTCAATTAGTCTCTCTTAGCCCATTTCATCCTGGTTGCAACCTTGCAAGGGTGGTATTTGCACTGCTCTTTTGCAGTGAGCCCCCCACCCTCGCCCCGGGGAAATGGGCAGGAAGATTTCAGG